GAAGAGAAAAAAAAGAGATCAACAGGTGATTTTTTGAAAACTTAAATATATGTATGTAATGCAAATATTATATATATATATATTACACGCACTCTCTGTCTCTCTGTCTCTCTCTCCTCTCTCTCTCTCTCTCTGACAAGAAGGCTATGAAGAGTATGTGTAATATATTCTTGAGGTCATTCCTAATACTTGTATTAACATGGAAATTTCCCCCTAGCTATCTATCTACATTGTCTATTGCAATAAAAACATGAGCGTTCAAGCTCTAATGATCTTTTTTATGTCTATTCTATCAGCACTAAGGAAGAGCATTTGAATATAAAAGCTGAGCTCTAGTCCAAGAAAGAAAAATAATCACAGGTAACAGTGGATGTCTCAGTGAGCAGTGTTTGTAATGCCATTAGACATCTTTTAGATATGGAGGAGAATGCAGGGTTCCTCTCTGTAGCCTCATCTCCAGAGGACTGGAAAGGAAGGGTAGGATTTGGCAGCAGGAGTTCCATGTCCTGCTGCCCTTGGTTCCTTCACAGAAATCAAATGGCAGTTCACATCAATTTCCAAAAAGAAAGGAAGAAACAAAAGTTATTAATGAAAAGTGAAGGAGAGAAGATAAAAAGGAAAATAAGCTCATGGGTTAGTAAGTTGTGAAAATAAATGCAAAAGACATACATACATGCATGTTCACAGACACACAGATATAAACTTTACACACAAATGTATACATGCCTTCATTCTCAATATTAAAAAAATCTGTACTGTTATTTCAAAATAGGACTTCTGGCTTACATTGCTTTTCATGCTTTTAGGACCACTAATAACCCCTAGCATGGTAGGTTCTATAAATTCACCTGTGTGAACACAATGGAATTCAAACTTTTTTGTGAACACAATGGTTTCTGAAAATATTCAGATTGCTTTAAGGTCTAACGGGGAAAAAAATCTTTTAGGCTACCCTTCTACCCTTGAAGATCTGGACAATTGAGAATTTAGCAATCAGGATATTTCCACTTTTGCCCCCAGGTCACTGATTTTAAAGGGACTACAGTCATCTTAGGACATCACCATTGAGCAGCTGTTTTGCTCACAATGTGTAGAAGAAATGTGTTGCTTGTCACTATTAATACTCATTGGACAGGTGTGTATATTCCAAGTCGATGCATCTGCCAATCCCTAGCACTTTTAAGTAACGTGGTGAAAGCCAGAACAGCTGCTACCTTTAACAAGCTTTTCAGTATATATGCTGAATTCTCTCTTTATCCCAAGTACTAAATATTAATATTTCATACCGATGACACATTGTCTTATTTGAAACAAAAATCATAAAGGAAAGGCTTTTATGGAAAATTTCTGAAATGAGCCAGGAAGGCAAGAGGTAGTCTTTCTTCCTAGGAGAATGTGATAGAGGTCAAACTAGCTGAGAAGGTCAACATTGAGGAGAGCTCTCAACCCTACAGAAATCTGCAGGCACTGCTGAGACTGACTCTGTCAGCCTTACTCATGCATAGGTCACTGGGAAATGCACTTCTAAAATGAATGCATGGTGATGATTTTATATATATATATATATATATATATATATATATATACACACACACACACACACATACATATACACACACACATTCACACACACACATATACACACACACAGACAATATATACCAGCACAACTTTCACTATCTCTGTTTTGCTGCACTGTAACCTCTAAATCAACACCTAATGTGGAGACAAGGAGTTCTTATCTCCCAGTTCATCCTTTTGCATGGCAACCAGAAACCACATGGTTCCAACTACAATGAAACATCATTTCACTGAGAAAACTTCCCCTACTCCCACTCGCTACAACTTGAGGTTGATTATGCTTTGAAAAATAAAACAGCATGAATGTATTTAAGTCACCACATAAGCTGGTCTGTTCTGAAATACTACCAATACCCACCCATTATCCTTTGCCATATAGCCAGTCGCTGTCATCACTGGAAAGAGACATATCATCTAAAAAAATCTACATTCCTATGTTATAAGTTCATGTCTTCTTTCAAAGAACCCAGCATTTCCTTTCAGAAGAATGTTCACTAAACTAGGCAATATTCTAGCTCACATTTAGTATGTATTTTTAATGTTTGCATAAAATACTTAATAGACACTTTTATTTTCTTAAACTATATTCAGTAATGTACGTAGCATGTGGCACAAACTCAAAAGACTGGTCAGAAAAGTCACTAATAGATCTTTAAGTATATCTTTTTTTTCTCTCAAAAGATCACAAGAGCCCTGAAAGTAAATGCTTGCTACATTTCCTTTTCTCAAAAAAGAAAAAGAAAACTAAAATGAGAAAGAAAGCATTCATTATGTACCTTAATTTGGTTTGATAAAGAAGTAAAACAGCTATTAGTTAGATATTGTTTTGCTCTGGCACTGTGAGTTAATACAGAACATGATCTGTAATGATATTTCACTGATGAGGAAATTAAGGCACAGAGAGCTTAACTGACAGAGAAACCCAGACCTTTGACATAAGGTTGAAATTACCTCAGACTTAACAGTGAGATCAGAAATATTACATCCGCAAGCCCATACTTTTCACCAAAAAAGGACCGAGTTTATGTAAAAGCTTAAACCCTTTTAATTCTAAGTTTTATAGCAAACTTAGCAAATGCATTTCTTGTCTACTTAAGCCTTTTGTTTCAAATATCAATCAGTTCAGAGGAGAATTTAGTGCCCAAGCTAAAAGTAACATTTTCCCAGCCTTGGTTTGTTTTTGGGACAATCTCAGCTTCTTTGCAAGTAAGTATCAAATTATATCAAAGTATATTCAGGGCAATACCCTAGGTGTTAAAGGTACAGCAGTGAACAAATCATGCAAAAACTCCTATCTTCACTCCACTTAATTCACTAAGGAACCATAAAAACCAAGAAGAGACACAGGGAATGTGGGGTAAGTCCCAATTTCAGAAAGGATAATCAACAAAGGTCATAAAGGGGTAACATATGAATATAATCCTAAAAGAGAGAAGGAGTGGACAGAGCAAGCAAAGGGGACAAGGCAGAGTGATATTCTAGGAGTCAGTACAGAAGCCCTGAAGTGAAAGCATGCCTAGCATTCCTGACTCAATGTCTGTTGCTTGCTATTTTAAATATTGTGTATTTTTCTCTGTTGAAATTTCCATCACATGCTTTGGGAGAAGGTAAGGACCACACATACTTGTTATAAATACTGGAGATAATCTTCACTTCAAAGGAGGTTCAGGGGTACACGTGATAATGGCCACTCCCTTTGCTATACACCATTGCATTTTATTCTCTTCTCTATTATCCACAAAAACATCAGCTTCCTAAAACTAACTTACTTGTTAACTTACAGCAGCTAAAAAAAAAAAAAGAAGAAGAAGAAGAAGAAAAGACTGAGGAAAGTTCCACTTAAAAAAAATCAAACTCTTAAGGAATAATACTCAACTCATGATGAGTATCTTCAATGAACTTTTAAACATACTGTATTCAGCATTTAACGGTTAAGTACAACCTGGCATTTCATTATATGCTGGTTTACATTGTTGCTGTACGCACATTTGCTCTCACAGTGTCTCTGGAGCAAGGCCCATATTTTGAGAATATCTGCATCCCACCGCAGGGCTTTGCACATGGATGTTTGGTGGTGATGTCATAGAAACAATCACAACAAGCAGTAGACATTCCTCCTGTTTAAGTATCTGTTTGTGGATAAAGTCTGAAAGAGAGAGACATGATGGACTCCCACAGTCGTTTTGAAAATCTCAGCCATTTGGGCCAAGTTACTGTTTGTGTAACATTCCATTCTCCTAAGTTTCCATTTGCATTTTCAGTTCGGGACAATACCCACTTTCAGTCTAGAGGAAAGCACGGGATAAGCTACAAAACATAAAGGAACTGTGTGGAGTCCGATTCCGTTCACTTCTGCTAGTGTTCAACATCATTATTTGAAAGGAACATGAAACTATCAGATTCGGAACTCTAATGAGACATTGTCCAGACAGCCTAGCCAGGCAAACAGACACGTAAAGGAACAACTTAGTAAGCGTAAGATATGGAGAAGCACTTTGAAAGTATACAAGGAGGGGCCTGGAGGATGAGGTAAGGCTTCACAGAAGAGCTGGCACCTGAACAGACAGGGTTTTGAAAGATGAATAGGCCTAAAACAATCAAGACATGGGATCAAAGGGCATTACGGATTGTGCAAAAACACTGGCAGAAACACTGCAGACTGAAAAGTGCTAGAAGAATGTAATCACAATCAGTTAAGTAAAGTTGCTCTGTTTCTCAAGCTTTCCAAGAAAAAAAACAACTAGCTCTGAAACGGGAGGGTGGTGAGGAGGAAAGTTCCACCAATGCTGGTTTAGTTAAACCCCTTAGCCCTCCCTTTGCTCTGTTTTGTTTCTCTTAAGGAAATAAAGTACAGTGTTGGCTGAAAACTCCAGAGGAGAAAAGCACTTTAATTTGACTGTGGAAAAAGAAGAGGGAAAACAAAACCGAAAAGTGAGCAAATGCCAGAGAAATTTTGTTTAATTAATTTATACTTTTCTGCAATATAGAAAGGGAAGAAATCTAAAATTCAGGGATCAAGGGCCTGAAACATGAATTCCAAGCTTCCTCTTCGCCAGTTCCATAAATCTGCCCACTGTCTGTTAGTTTCTGGGATGCCAAGGCCCATGTGGCAGTTTCTGGGGCCGCCTCCTCTGAGCCAGCTCTTGCATGCAATATCTGAGAGAAGAAATCAGCGTAGGGCAGATCCGCCGTATACTTTGTTTCCTTCTCCAACTACCAACCCTAATCTGAAGCTCAGAGTTGAATTCCAGTCAAGTACACTAGAGAGAACAAAAACACTTGAGCAACATCCAAAGAGATGTGAGAAACTGAGAAAAGATCCTAAGTGCAGATGGCTGTCACCTCGTCTGAGGGCAGGGGGTGCTGGGACTGGGAACCTCATCCAGGCTAGTGACTTGGAATGGAGGGAGCGATCTTACCTGGGAGCTCAGGTAGATTTTGAGGCACTCCTCACACACGGCCTTCTTGCAGCAGGGCAGGGGCTTGATGGGCTTGTCTTCCAGGCACACCCGGCACATCAGCACCATGAGGGGCGCATAGGGATCCCCTACCCCGCCCAGGCCAGAGTAGGGTGGAGCTCCTAACAGGCTGGGCACGGAGAAAGGCTCCGGAGCCAGGTAGAACTCCAGCTCGATGCTGCCGCCGTCGGGGGAGAGGGGGTCGGCTGGAAGGGACAGCTGGGAGCCAGGGAAGGAAGATGGAGGGCTGGAGGGGTTGGGCACCGGGGGCGCCCGGGGTGGGGAGGCGGGCGGCGAGGGCTGCTCGGAGGAGGGGAGCCGAGGCAGGTCGCTCTCCACGCAGTACACGGAGCAGAAGACTTGTCTCTGGGAGGGCGGGCGCCGCGGACCCAGCATGTCCAGGACCCGTCCGTCGGAGGCCCCCATTCGGGTCCTGGGCTCAGGGTCCTCTCCGGGCGGCGCCTCCTGCAGCGCACCCCCTCCCTCTTCTCGGTGCCCAGCTTCCTCCTCCTCGTCTTCTTCCTCCTCCTCCTCTTCCTCCCGCTCCAGCTGCAGTTGCAAAGTCTGGGGGTCGAGGGGCCCGGTGAGCTCCAGTCCAGCGTGCTGCCCAGGTGCTGGGCTCTTCTGCCACCCCGCCGCCCCGCGGCTGCCGGCGGGCTCGGGGGCGGTGGTGGCCGCGCGGCCGGAGTCGCTTCCGCAGCCGCCTCCGCGGCCGCCGCTCCGATCGGCCGAGGCAGCGCTTGGCCCCGGAGCCCCGGCGCTGTCCCCCCGCGGCCTCGGGGGCTCGGGGTAGCCCGCCGCGCCCCGGTCCGGGACCCGCGCCTCCTGGGGCCCGCCGCCGCCGCCGCTCACCGTGCTCTGCTCCTCGCCCATCGCCGGCCGCGGCCCGCGCCGCCGCTGCCCATCCAGCCGCCGGGACCCCCAGCCGGCGCCGGCGGGCAGCGGGGGCAGCGGCTCGGCTCCACTCGCGGCTCCGCTTCTGCTTCCGGGTCCCTCCTCCGGGGCCGGGACGCCCCAAGCTCCCTCCGGGGAGCCCGTGCTCCCGGGCCGCGGCGCGTGCGGAGCCCGGCCCGGCCTGCCGCTCCTCCTCCCGGTCCTCCGGCAGCGGCCAGGCACCGCCTCGGGGGCGCCGGGGGCCGCTGGCTCCGGGCACGGGGGTGCCCGCCCCACATGCAGGTTGGGGCGGTGCCGCGCTCCCCTCGAGCCCGGGGCTGGGCGGGGCGGAGCGGAGGAGTCCCGGGAAAGGCGGCTGGCCGTCAGTTCCGCGCCATGGTCAGTCCCAGCTGCGGGTTCGGTGTGGCCGGGCTGGGCGCTGGTCTGAGGGTCGCGGGGCCTGTGGCCGCCGGGTCCCCCCCGGGCAGGGTGGGGGGGTCGGGGAGAGAGGCCGGAGCGGGGTGACCTCCCTCCGGTCTGGCTTCACCTCGAAGCCCTCCTCTCTCCCCCTCTCCCCACCCCTTTGGCGCACACCTCGCCACACGTACACACGCGCGCACACTCCGCGCGCGCCCCACACACCCCACTAGGCGCACACCCGGGTGGGTGTGATCTCAGGGCCGAAATGCCCTCCCGCGCCAGGACTTCACGCTGGGCCTCTACCCAAGTCTATAGGCAGCCCAGGCTGGCCCTCCTTTGGGCTACACATGAAGTAGAACTTCCTACAGAACTCCTGGAGGCTGAGGCTTGGAACTAGGAAGGGCTGGCTAGTTAAGCTTGTTGAGTCCAAACAAATAATACCCGGGATTCGTTAAAGTGCTGTTTACACGAATCTCTGTTTTTGTTAAGGGTGGCCAGGAGGGTCTCTGAAATCCACCAATAAACCTAAAAGGAGCTTTTGGTCTACCCTTCCAAAAGCAATCCTAGCAAGGAATGATAACGAACCAATCTGAGATTTATCCTGTTTTCCTTCTGATAGTGTTGGCCCAAGAATTTGTTTCTGGGGATTTTGTGTGTCCTAAGAATCTGGATCATTTAGTGGAAATCTCAGTTATTAGCATAATTATATTTACCTCCAAAACTATTTCAAGACAATAGAACTTAATTGTGGGTAGATCCATCTTCTTTATTTTACAGGAAGTATTAGTCACCCAGACGTTGGTGTGTTTTGAGTTCCCTTAAAGCCAATGAAAACATTTTTGGGAAACCAACCCATGTCTTTTTTTTTTTAATTTTGAGAGAATTCAATTTACACATTCACATACTAGGAAGGAGCTGTGAAATGTACTTTTTTTTTAAATCTTGAAGTTGTCATTGGGTTCTAAAATATTTTGCAAATCAGATGCAAATGCTACAAAGGTGACTTGCTTTGCCGTGCTATTAGAAAACAGTGGAGGGCTGGGAAGGTGGCTCAGTGGTAGAGCGCTTGCCTTGCATGCCTGAGGCCCTGGGTTCGATTCCTCAGCACCACATAAGCAAAAAAGAAAAAAGCCGGAAGTGGGGCTGTGGCTCAAGTGGTAGAGTGCTAGACTTGAGCTGAAGAGCTGAGGGACAGCGCCCAGGCCCAGAGTTCAGTCTCCATGACCAGACCCCCTCCCCCTAAAAAAAAGAAAACAGTGGAACATCAAAGAACATTTCCATCAAGAGCCCGACCCCAGGTACACCCGGAGGGGATGATGAATTTGATGAGTAATTACCATGGTCACGTGATGGTCTGACTCAAGAATGGAGAATTATTAATTTTTTGAAGATTAAATGCTGGCCCTCCTTTCCTATTTTCCTCCCCTTCATCTGTGGAAGAATAGAACTGGGAATTGTGAAAAGGGGCATCGAGTGGAAAAACACCAGTTCTCTTTATTTTTCTACCTAGATCTAAGAAAAATCCAAATAGTGAACTTTGTAAAAAAAAAAAATTAACGGTACAACAAAACACTATACATTCTAATTTAAAAAGTCACGTATTTGAAAAACAGAAGAAACCAAGAAGTGGAGATTGGAGAAGGAAAGGAGAGGAAAAGGTAAAGAAAAAGAAAGGAAGGGAGGGAATGAAGGAAATTACCTATCTTCTACTATCTAAAATTACCACTTTAACATATTGATGGGTGTGTTTACATTTCTGTGTGAAATATATATGAAGTTGTAATGCTTTTTTCTGTTTTTTCTTCGTCACTGGTGATACATCTTGAACACTTCTCATAGTGCTGACATGTGTGTGCATCATAATGATTTGTCACCATATGCTCTTTTTCTCTATATACAACTGTCATAATTTAATTCCACTATATTAAAATAAGTCATTTCTAGTTTTAATAAAATATATAATGTCTATATTGTCAATTTGTATCAAATTCCTATATAATAGTTTGGGGTACATCCCTACAGGATAAATACCCAAAACTTAAAGTGCTACAGAAGAAGTGGACTTACTTTGAAACTCTTGGCACACATTCTTATAAAAACTTAGCACTAACTTATACTTCATCAACATTGTTAGCCAAGGTGTTAGTCAAGTTTTATGTCACTCTGACAAATAATTGAATAAAGCAACTTAAGGGAGGGAGGATTTATTTTGACTCATGGTTTCAGAGGGGTCAGTCTGTAATTCTTGTTTCATGTTCTTGGGTTTATGGTGAGACAGAATCTTAATAGCAGCAGGAACATGTATCAGATTCTACTCATGGTGGACAGGAAGTGAGGGGTGGTTTCATGTGATATTGTGACAACCTGGGCAGATACATCCCCCAAAGACCTACTCCTCAGTAACCTAATTCCTCCAACTAGCCACCAGATCTAGAAGCTCCCCAAATAGTAGTGAAACGGGAGATTAAGCCTTCTTTTTTTTTTTTTGGGGTCCGGTCGTGGGGCCTGAACTCTGGGCCTGGGCGCTGTCCCTCAGCTCTTCAGCTCAAGGCTAGCGCTCTACCACTTGAGCCACAGCGCCACTTCCGGCTTTTTTTTCTGTTTGCTTATGTGGTGCTGGGGAATCGAACCCAGAGCCTCATGCATGCAAGGCACGCGCTCTACCATTGAGCCACCTTCCCAGCCCGAGATTAAGCCTTCTACATGTGAGCCTTTGGGGGAAATACTTCACATCCAAACAGTGAGTGAGGGAATTTACCTTTCTTATCACTCATTCACCTTACACTTTTAATCAATGAATGAATATTTGATCAAAAAGAAAAATAAGGTAACGACTGTCAAATCTCTCTCTGGATATTTGTAATTTGACATTGAATGATATCATTCTGGCAGAATTCCTTCTTTCTCTGTTTTGAATTTCCTCCTTATCTTGTTTAGTGACAAGAAGTGTTCTATCACAATGGATACTTTGAAATCCTTGTTGCCAGTTCACCATTTCTGCTTTTAAAATGGACATACACACCCACTCAAAAGATTTTTCTTCAAAGAGTGAAATGGTTTCATCCCAATAAATGAATATTCAGCAGTAAATAAAGAATTATGTAGAACTTCAGCTTCAAATTGTGGGCCAAAGTGCCTTGATGAACTCTAGAAATTCACAGGAACACCTTGAGATATTTATAATTCTTGAGGAAATCACAGCATGATCTGTCAAACATTAGGCAAGCTAGTACCGTAAGTTGTTTGGACATATAGTAGATACTTCTCTTAGCTTAAATGTGACCATGAAAACTAACACTCAGAAGGGCATTGTAAAAATAGCAAGTATGTGGGAGAGTTTTGTTTGGTGTTGAAAAACTCAGAAATGGGATAGAAGCAAGAAAGAGACCCTGACCTCTAGACCAAATATAATTTTAAATTTACTAGACATATTTGTAAGGAACAATAAAAACTTTTAAGTAAAACCTTTTCTTGTTGACTTAAGAAAGGTTTTTGTCTTTTCCCCAACCTAGTAGGTGATAACTAACCTATAAACTTTTAGAATGGTCTGCTAGAGGAGTGTTTGGGATCCTTAAGATATAACAAATGTGATAACAGTGTGATTTGTGATAGGCACTTTGGGTTATGCAGTATCAACTTAAACTCTTAAGGATTAGAGCCTAAGGCCAAATTTTTGGTAATTGTTGCTCTCTACATTACTGACACTCAGTGAGAACCAGGGCCATTGAGGTATGGGGTGAGTCCTGATTCGCAATACTTTATGTGCATCATCGTACATCATTACTGAAACAAGCATTGGCTGCACAATCCCACACGCAGAGGGCAAGTGGTCATTCTGTGTCTGGTCTGGGCTGGTGCTTTTTATCTAGATGCCCTTCTTAATGCTGATTTTTCAGCTGTGTTTAACTTTTCACTGTCAGAATCCATAACTGAGTAAGCTACTTTTTCTGAGTTCTGCAAACTCTTCCAGAGGATTATGGAACCTGAGGGTGCCCTTGAGAACTTCCTGAATTACAATACCACAAAAAGGAAGTCCATTTGTGTTTTTAAGTCTTCATTCACCTTGTTATTCTAAGCAGAATGAAGCAATGGAGAAAGAAAGACATCCCCCCACAGTATAACCCGTGCTTTCACTGTATTTGATGTCGGTATAATTTGTGGAGGGGAAGGGGAAAAACAAGTCGTTTAAATAGGGATACAGGTGGACCCATTGCAACAATGAGAAGTACAAGTTGTTATGTCGAAAAGGAACTTTACACCTTTGGGGAGGATTGGGGGAGGAGTGGGGGAGGATGGGAAGGGATGGGAAGGGGAAACAAAGGAGAAGGCTACAATGCTTGATAAGAAATGTACTCATTATCTTGCTCATGTAATTGTAACCCCTCTGTACAGTATTTTCCCAATAAAAAAAAGACAGAAAGACATCTACCAATTGAAGAGTAAGACAAGTTAAAAAAAAAAAAAAGGAGAGAAGGCTTTACCTTGTTCTTGTCACTAAAGAAAGTTTATTTTCTCAGATAACATCAGTAAGAAAGTGGACGCTTTGATGTTTTAGCTACTTGAAGTTAATTATAACATTTTGTTTGACAAAATCTCGCAAGAGAATGAAAGG